GCGAGTAAAACCTTGAAAGCTCGCGAGATCAGGATGGTCTCACAAGGCTAACAGACTGCCACTCTGGCTCTCTGACTCTCACTCCCAATTGCCCCCCAGGCTCCGCACAATGTCAGCCCTCTGCTCTTCAAGGGGATGGGTTAAATGCAGAGGTACATTTCTCCAATGTGAGATCAATAAAGTTGAATTATTATTATTAGAGTAGGTGTCGTGCAGCGTTTGACAACTAAAATAGCAACACAATGCAACCATGAGATGCTACCATAAGACTCTATATTGTGCTTTTTATGTCACACCTCCAGAAATTGGTAGTTTACAATGAAAACATATAGAACATATGTATTAGCATATTTGTTTATGCATAGATTTGAAAGCACAGTCTATAAATATCACACATTTAACTAATCATCACCAAGTATGCAATAATGTAGATATTCAAACACTTTAAAACCTCTCCAGAAAGAGATAAAATTTTTAGGTAGTTCATGATCCTCTCTGTCTCTTAGACTCAGAATATCACTCTGAGCATACGTTGAAGGTTAGCGTTGTATTAAAAACATATCATCAGATGAAGCATTTTGTCACACAGAAATGTATCTGGAAAACTTTTTGAGATTAAACTTATATATTAATATATCTTTATTCTAAAACAATTCTAGTACAGATAATTGTTAGCTAAATGAAGCCAATATTCTATAAATAACTAACCATACCAATATTATACTGTATGATTTTTTTTTTTTTATCATTTTAACATATCTCTGTGATCCCTCCAAGGCATTATGAAAACACTATTCCTAATTTTGCTTGAAGATTTCTACAATTTCTTACAAGAACATTTGTTTGAAAATAAATTGGCTTGAACTTTGCATTTAAAGAAGACAGAAAGGAGCAGATCAGATGTAGTAATGGGTTGAAATCAATGTGGAAAAAAACTTTTTTGCATAAGATTTAACTGTTAAGAAATCACGTCTTGTTTTTCTATTGCAGTCACATTCATTCCTGCGCATGATGTAAGTGAGCTGGACCGGCTGAAAACCAACCAAACGGCTCTTCTGGGGGAAAATAACAACCTGACAAACATCAATAACAAACTCATATCAGAGTTAGAAAACTTGAGGGAGGGTCACACCAATCTGACCGTTGAGTTTAAAAACCTCTCTGAAGCATTTAATGTCTCAGAAAGTAGAATTTTAAACCTGACAGGAGAAACACAGAGACTTACAAATCAAAACCAGGAGCTGGAGTCAGAGAAGAGAAACCTTACAGAGCAAATACAAAACCTGGAGAACAGGTGGATCGAGCAGAACGTCAGCCGTGCTCAATGGAGCATCAATGCATACTGTACCAAGGGCTATTATGGTATGTCCAGATCACATTGATTGTATTCTAAAATCACCAATATGAATATTTGTATGTATGACTCTTTTTTACGAGTGGACTCTGTTATTTCAGGATACACATGCAAACCTTGTCAAGACGGGTGGCTTCATAAAGACTCCAGCTGTTATGCCATAAACGATGCCTGGAATACTAGGAAAACCTGGAAAGAAGCTCGTGAAGACTGCCGACGCAAGAATGCAGATCTCGTTCTGGTTTCCGATGAAAGTGAGAAGGTACTTAGGTAAACCCCGTGCATAATCTATATTTCCTAAAAACTGGAAAATGAATATCATTTATAATATTTTCTGTTTTTGTCCAAGACTTTTGTCAGTCAGAAAAGTTGGTCCAGCTCAGGGAATGATGGATACTGGATTGGCCTGAAAGCAGAAGGCAACAAATGGAAGTGGGTTGATGGAAGTAATGAGACTAATGAGTAAGAGACACATATTTAGTATTTCACTTAATTAAATTAATCATTCTTCTGCAAATTGTAATACTTTTCTCCTCTACAGGAACTGGATTCAGTCAAAACCAAATGACAATCAGTGTGTTATATCTGTTATGTACAGTGGATGGAAATCAGTGGACTGCAGTGCAAATCAACGGTATATCTGTGAAAAGAAGGCTTTGTCTGTTTAAACCACAAAAGCAAATAAAAAAGGTTAAGAAAAAGTCTAAAAGTGAGAGAATAAAAGTATTTTTATATTCTAAAATCTTTGATCATGTAGCCCTTTATTCTCTTCTCAAAGTGGTCAAAGTGTCCTTGTCAGTAACTTTAAATATGTTTTTAATCCACTGTGTGTGTTTTGCCTTTGTTTGCCATCAGCAGTAATGTTGCTGTTTGACCGCTAGAGGGTGCTACGTTTCTGTTAATTAAAAGTTAATTTAATAGTGTTGTTGCAGCTTGTTTTTCTCTGATGTAAAAACCAGATGAATGTTTTTGCTATTTCACCTTAATAAAATATTAAAACTTTTACATTTCAATCTTCTTTATACGATAACATTTTGGTTAAAGTGCACTGGTCACAATCACTTTCTCTCTTTGGGTTTAGTTCGAAACTAAAGCAAAAAAACAAAAAAACAGCTGCTTATTTTGTCTTCTCTTTTCAGAAATAATGAACACTATATAAAGTGCCTCACAAAAGTGTACATATCTCTTCAACCTGTTTCTAATATGCTCATATTATAGATTAACATACAGTATCAAATGTAAAAAAAAAAGGGATACCAGCTTTTCCAAATACAAAATGGTTCATGTTTTTATGCAACTTTCTTTACTCTGATACAATTCAGTAAAAGTCAAAGCAATCTGTTAATTTCAGATTTTACTTAATAATAACTAATATTAGGATCCAGCTATACTGTATGTACTTTAATCTTGGCACAAAAAATAATTAAAGGCACATTAGTATTTAAAACATCTGTGGTGTTGAGCAGCTTTACATGTGGTTAAAAAGAAAAAACTTTTGAAGATGCACAATTGTACAATGTGTAATAAGAACATAAGTATTTTCTTGAGGATCGAAACGACAATAATGAAGTTGTTGGGTTTTTTTTAAGATTTTAACCAATCATTTATAATCTTATGAGCACAAGTGAGCAATTAGTAGTAATTCCTGTGTAATCACAGTAAAACCCAAAAATTGCTCCCTTACTGAATAGTTTTGAAAGGAAATAGCACTCCCCATCCACTCAACCTCACGGTGGGAGCTATAAAAATAGCTGATTTAAGTTCAAAAAACATTCTTCGATGTACATACTAAAATTACAGTTCTGATTAGAAAAAACATTAGATTTGTGATAAACCGAATTCATATAGGTCCTGACGATACACACATATCTTCACTCATGTTTTTGAGGATTATATGTGTAGTTTGATCTGAGATAGATCTTGGTTAAATATAGAGATTGGTCAAATTCTTTTAGCTGATAAGTATACACATCAACAGAAGCATATAATTCTGGTATTACTATTTTTTTTTTTTTAAACCAAAATGTCAAATTTTCAGCAAAACAAAAAAAAAAAACTGCTCTTTGGGTCTTCAGCAGTTGTTTACCACACATTTTCAATTTTTTGGTTGTAATATCAAAGCACTGAAGCTGTTTCTCAGCTCAGGATAGGAAAAAAATGTGCTTAAAAAAAGCTTCCTGGGTGTTTTTTTAACAAATGATCTTAAATCTTGAAATTATTTTTCTCCTAAATAACTTCTGTTAATTAAATGATCAAATTGTAATAGTTAATTTGTATATTATCTACAGTTAAGTAAATTTCAGATAATCACAAAAAATAAAAATAGTTTTGATAAAGTTACTTGTCTGGTCATACATTTAAATACCTTGTATTGTCTTTTTTTTCTTTTGATAATCTGTAATGGCAACAAATACACTGTAAAAAAAACAAAACAAAAACTATTTTTTATTGCCATTTTATGATACAGGACATTCCAGAAATAAATAAAGCTGCTTATTCATCGATCAAAAATGAAAAAAGGTAGAACTGTCCACAGATTGTGTGTTTATTCAGATATTGTACAATAACAGCATTACTAATAGAATCTAAACAATAGACCCAATATCTCAAAGTTGATAGAAAAACATTCAAAACTAACAAACTTTTAGTGTCACATGATTTTATCAAAATTTATTTATTTTAGGAGTTTATATATTGATTTTCCAGAGCTTAAAGTTACATTAAAGAGATGACACACACAAAAAAACTTTCATAAGTTCTTTAAGAAGTCTTAATGTTTTGAATTTTAATCTATTCTCAAAATCAACGGGCACTAAAAGAACATTTGTGTGAGAAGAAATGGTGGTTATAGTGCAGTGCTATTGTAGTGGGTTTTATAGTGTGGAATCATATTTTTCGTTGGCTAATTATGTGTGTGCCTGTTTGAATTATGAGTAATGATAGAGAAATCCTGTATCATTCACTGTGCGGTACTCTTTAGGGGGACAGAAAGCAGATGCCTCCCTACTCTAGAGAAGGGTGAAGGGAAGGTCATGAGAGATAAGTTCACACAGACTCCTTCATGCCGTGGCTAAAATGTATGTCCTTGATGAACTGAAGTGTTTTTCTTGGGAATAACCAAACGTTCAAGTGTGAGAGATCTTTGTGCAGGGGGTGGGTTTTAGTTTCATGGAGGAGTGAGAATGTTCTGGTATTTTGAAGAGTATAAATGTATGTGCTTAGGACGGTTAAGTCAGAGCTTTTAAATACTCTCCGTCCAAAGAACATTAAATAAAACTGAATATTATGGAAGAAATGCTTTCCCATTAAGTTTTCCAACTTCACAATAGTTTGTTATACAATAGGAAAGGTTCTTAATGACTTCACTTTTAAATGGTTGATCAACTAGTTTCATGAAGACAAATAATTGGTTCAACAATTATTTTATTAATCTGATAGGAACATAATGAAAGTGAACTATGCCAAACATATTTCTGAATATTTCTGACACCTCTCCAACTTAAGCCCCTTTGTCAAAAAGCTGCTATATCAAGTAGACTAAATATTTTGTAGAATGTATTGAACTCTATTCTTCTATATTTTGGGGGGATAAACATCCACAGCCTTAAAAGATTAATATTAATAGACCTAATATAGGCCTATGTAATAATTTAGAGCCCCCAAAATTTAGAAATTACCCAGTGTTTTTTTTTTTTTCTTCTCTTCTTGTTCCTTAGGTCAAATGACATTTTTATTTCAACATTCTCAATTTCTGAAACTCATAAATGTCTTGAGCAATTTTTTTTATCAGTGTTGAAATAAGGTGGATAACTAAGCTTTATTTATTTCTCTTTTTTCAAGTTGTTTATGCAGGCATTTCCCAAAGCTAAGACATGCTCCTATTATTATTAATCATTATTAATTTCCCTACATAGCCGTTCATGTTTTTAAAGATATTTTTTTTCTTTTTTAAAGTTTAAATTAGTGTAGTAGTAATTTAGAAATATATTTTTCCTGTTTTCAGTAAACGCACCATAATACAGCTGAGGCTGAGTATCTATTGCGGCTGCGCGGACTGTTTTTTTCCCGGAAACGCCAGTGTTGTTTTGATGTTTGCTGGTGTTTTTAGTCATAAGGAGAAGCTGAACTTTTAATCCGTTTCTTTCTTGTCTTTTACCGTAAAGAAGAGAAAGAAGAGCGTTCAATATGTACAGTCCGAGCTGATGAAGAAAATCTGCGTGCTGAATGAAGATAGACATTTGCCCTAACACAGTGGTTAGCTGCCCTGTTCGCTGGCTAGCAGGGAGCTAGCCATTAAAGTTTGCTTCAACATGGATTGTACAGCGCTGGAACACGATGCTTTCAAATTTGCCAAAGCGGCTGTGACCTATGACCAAAAGGCCAAATATAATGAGGCTGTTTTTTATTATAAGGTAGGTAGCTGAAGTTTTCACTTTAACAGCTGCTAGCTGTCATGGTTAGCATTTAGCTGTGTTTGTCCTGTGAGTTCAAAGTCCACTTTTACTGTGACAGTTTAATATTTTTTTCTGTTTGTTTGGCAAGTTCTAGTAAAATCTTTTCAAATAGGGATAATATATTTTTTCTGGCATGCTGTTATTGTTCAGTTACTTTTTATTAATAATAATAAAAAAGAACCCTTAAATGAACAGTAATTGTGTGTTATAGGAGGCAGCCCAGGCTTTGATCTATGCTGGAATGGCAGGGTCCAAACTGGAAGGGCTCCAGGACAAAGTGAATGAATATTTGAACCGGGTTCAAGCCCTCCACAATGCAGGTAAAGTCCTCTGAAAGCTGTCATAATAATTCCTTCCTGTTGTTTTCACCTGTAAACCAAAGCAGTAGTTGGTAAAGATTGTTTCCATATTCTTTTTACCAGGCTTTGTAGTCATATTTTTATCCATCTTCATATTTTGACACTTTAAATCCACAAATATTGTATTTTTATTACCGTAAATATATGTCCCAGCCCAACACAAAGTAGTGCATAGTTGTAAATACAGACTGATACATTGGCAGGATGACATTTGACCAATATTAGGGTTGTTTTCTTGTACCGGTATCAGCTGACACGTGCATGCAGTTTATTTATGCAGTGCTGCTTCAAAGTTTTTTTTTTTAAAGACTAGCCCTCTCCACTTAAAAATAAATGCACTTGCACAACCCTGTACCGGCATGCACAAGCCCATTTCTCCTTGTGCACTCTCTGCTTAAAAGTAGCTGCTCTCATAGCTCATACAAGCTTACTAAATCCCTCAATTAATATATAGAGCAGGGACTTTATGGTGGACTTTTTAGTAAACTCAGTTAACTTACCGTTCAGACAGATAATCACTCCTTTTTACTCCCCATTGGTAGTAACTCATCCTTCATTGCATGGTGCCTGAGCCATCTTTGTTGTTAGTCGCCCCTGTGGGGTAGTGGCAGCCTATGGTGACAGTGGGTTGCTGTGACAGTAAATACCATAATGCTTTGTGAGGAGAGATCTCCGAACAAAGCATTCTGGGATATATCTGCCTCTTCTGAGGCCTTTTTTTTCTTCTCATACACTTCGTAGACACTTTTTCTCTTACGAGCCTCCTCCGTTTTCAAAGAACCGTGTTGAGAAAGGCGAGCTTCAATGACTGTCTGAAACCGTAGCTCACCAAAGATATACACCATGAAAGTGCGCATGCGCAGAAAACGATAGCTAACGTAGGACGGCCTTACATAAACATATCACCAGAATGGAGGACCATTATTTTGATGATCCACCCAGAAATAAAAGATTGTCCTCTATACCTTTAAGGACACTTGAGGCACATGCATTGCCACTGCATTCAATCGCTCTCCATCATTAGTGTTCTTTTTGATTTCTTAATAAATTGAGACTTTTGTAAGATTAATTTAACTTATAACACTTTTTTATCAAGTAAATGGAGTAAGATATATTTGGGTCGTAGAATCGACCTAAATATATCGGCAGCACATATGAAGGATTGGTTGGACTGATAGGCATTGGCCTAAAATAACCTTTATTAGACAAACTTGGGGAAAACATGATTGAAAAACCCATCATCCATGCTTACTGTTTTCTAGGATCAGCTTTTGTTGATGTTGCAGCTGTAAGTCCTCTCAGGCAGTCACTAAATAAAGCATATCGAGAGACGGAAAATTATGCCAATTCTTTGTAAAATAGCTTAAGCTCAGACAGACTGGATATAGATCCAGTGGTTAAACATCAGATTTTAGTTTTTCCTACAGATTCTCAGTTTGTTTCAGGCTAGATTTTAACTTTACCAATTCAACACATGGATATACTTATATCTAAACCGCTCTTTGGTAGCAATGGACATTTTGTTGAATCCTTGCCATATTCAAATGTCTCTACTAGGTTTTATAACATCTCAATTCCTCTAATAACATCCCTGCTAAAGATTAAAAACATCCCTCTTAGGAAAATGTTTTCAGAGAGATGTATAAATGTTCCATCACATGTAATAATTTGCATGTTGTCTAATGTCTATTCTGATCTGACCAGTTTACTGAATTTAACCCTTGCAGTGATCCCTATGGAGCTTGTTTCACACGGAAAACTAGACTTTCATCGCTTAATTTCAAAAATAACTTTTCTATTGAGTTTTCTGTTTTGTATAATGTAGTACTAAACTGCTTCCCTTTTTCCCTTTTTTATTGTATTTTTTCAACTTATAGTTTCATAGTTTTTATTATCATTTCCTGAGGTGTTTGCTTTTTGTTGCAGATATTAGATCATTATGGAATAATGTTTTCTAAGCTCTGAAGTGCTTTTAACATTAGATGTTTGACTGTAGTTTTCCACTGGTTTCTGCTCCCTGCGGTTGGATCTGTGTTGACATGGGTGTGTCCACAGATGGCTGGAGTATACGCTGTTTTTGACAACTACTGCCCAGAGTTTAGCTCTGTGTATAAGATTTACAACTGAAATCTTTTTTTTTTAAAGGCCTTTAAGATTTTGATATGTATTCTGACATTTTGAATTGAAAAAGCTTCCTGGATGGGAAACAAAAAGTCTTCAAACTTGGAAACCAAGTCCAGTGGAGTGTTTTTTTTAACTTTTTTGGAATTTTGATATGTATTTTTCCCATTTATTGGAAATTAACCCATTACAATGAAAATAAAATAATAATTGGGGACAGTATGTTCTCTTTTCAAGTAAACAACAGTCTAATCAGTTTAGCTGAACAAACTTCCTGTATTTTAATTTCATTAAACTTCTAATCCAGTCCAGTCTGAGAAGATCGACCCGCTGAAATCCCGCCACCAGGTGGACCTAGAGCGCGCCCACTTCCTGGTAACTCAGGCCTTTGAGGAAGATGAGAAGGGGAACGGTGATGAAGCTATAGAGCTGTACACTCAGGCCGTGGAGCTCTGCATAAAGACGGTATTTTTCCCTCCGTATAAATGTTTGTCCTTTTCAAAGTCATTGATGGTAAACCATATGTTATTTATTCCTCCTTTCTGTTTTTTCCTGTCAGTCGAACGAGTCATCAGATCAGACTCTTCAGACGAAGCTGAAGCAGCTGGCACGTCAAGCTTTGGACAGGTCAGATCTAGTGCCGACCTGAACCCTCAGCCAACTAGTCATTAAACACTTTTAAACCTTTGATTTGAAAGCCTTAAATCCTTTTTCTCCATATCAGTCAGAAGTATTTAAAAGAGCTTTGACAAAGTGTTATGAATATTTAAAGTCCCATTTTCATGCTTAGTTAGTTTACCTTCAATGTCCTTTATTATTCTTTTCAGGTAATGATAAATAAAAACAGCATATTTGTTTTAAACGACTAAAAGTATAATTCTGACAGCCTGTATGTTTCCCAAATGTTTCTGCAGAGCTGAAGGTCTTAAAGAGTCGCAATCCAAGTCAACCTCGGCACAGTCTCAGGACAGAACAGGGCCTCCAGGAACCAAGTCCAGCGGCGGTTCAAGCGGACCGGTTCGTCAGTTCTTCCCTCTCGGGCCAGACTTCTCAGTCCACGACCGACCACAGCCTCAACCAATCAGAGCGGTTCAGTCCAGTGAGCCCCAGGGTCAACGGTACACAGCTGAGGAGATCGAGGTCCTCAGGTGAGATGGTTAATGAAACGATCTAACAATGCTCTTTATGTTATGAGTCAGAGGAACCAAATGTATCGTGTCATTGCATTTTTCATTTATATATATTTTTTTATGAATGCTGTCTGGGGTTAGAAACTCTGGTCAGCAATGACTTGTACTGGTGTGAAAGATTTCTGCTATCAGTGTTTTTAATCAGTTCTGCTCTGCCTACCTTTGCAGGAGTACATCTACAATCAATGGCATTGCCTATGTGCCCTTCATGAGCGTGGACTTAAAGGAGCGATTTGCCTTCCCTGTACCGTTCTCGTGAGTTTTAGTCCTTATTGTCACTCGGCTTTAAAGATTTATTGCCATCGAATTTAAAGTGTAAACGTTTACTTCAGTTAATAAAAACTGAAAATGGACTATGCTCACAATGAGGGAAAAAAGCCAAACATCTAACTGAACTGGTTTCTCCACATAAAAAAAAACACAAAACATTTAAAGCTCAGTCAATCAGTAAAAAGTAGGTGGAGTTAAAAACTTCCATAAGTAGGATTTATAAATTTTTTACGAATGAACTAAAAATCCCTATTCTGTCATCAAAACATTACGGGATGTTGACATGGAACTCTTATTTTTCCAGTATATGTCATAGTAATAAGCTTAACTCAAACAATAAAAAAACATGGAATGGGTATGGAAAAAAAACTATATCACCAAAAGTAGCGGTATAATTTCCCATGTACGTGAATCTCTGATGACCTAAATAATAGTTTTTTTAGTGTTGAGTTTGTTGATGGTCCCTTTTCCCAGCAGCTTTAACTATTCTGTAAACGTCTTCCTCATGGTTCAGAGGTGTGCCAATTGTTAAGACGAGAAAATCAGAACCAAAATCTCTGTTGTAACTCACCTCAAAGGTTCCCTTTAAGGTTACGGTCCTGTCCAAAAAAGTTTCTGCACCAAAATTATTCATATGCAAAAGTGACTGAAACATCTTAAGTTCATTGATCTGATGATTTGACTGAATACTTGTAAAATATTATTGTTTAAAATATAATTAATCTTTCTGTTCAGTAAAACATCTCTAGGGTGGTTGCTACATTCTGTTAAACATTGTTAAAAATTAATAATAAACGATATTTGGATGCCAGATATGAAGAATCAGATGCTTTCGTCTCGTTCGAATAAATAATTTAGATTTAAATTATATATCTTGTTTCTGCTAAATCTATTTTTGTATTATTAGTATTGTTTACTTTTAATATCAGTTTCAGTGCTTTTCCTTTGCAAAAAGTTGCAGTAAAACCTTTTATTATCCTCATAACATTCCTGTATAACTTGCATATGCCTGTTTAAATTATATATTTCCTTCCTTTCCTTCACTTGCATTTTTTACCAATGTGTCACACTTTATCACCAAACCAAAAATCCTTTTTTGTGTAACACACTACTTGGCAGTAATGTTTTTTTGTGATTCAGAGTAAATTGGCTTGTTGAACTAAGCCTTTTGCTGACTGCTTCTTTTGAAATGATTTAAACGTTTTTAGTTATCTTTTTTTTTTTTTTTTCTTACAGGGACAAAACTGGGAAACTTGCTCTTTCTCCCAAACAGAAAGCCATCTTCTCCCGCTGGGTTCGGCCAGATGAGATCTGCAATAATCCCACCATGATCATGTCTGTGTCCAGCTTCAGCATCAAACAGGTTCGCAGCTCATTCCAACTCATATGCTTATGTTGTCAGTATAGAAAGTTATTCCTTCACACTTTTTATTCTTTAATCTTTCATTTATTCTGAGTAAAGCTAATATCATTGATATGTAATGTCCAAATTACCCAGTAGGTGGTGCAACATTATCACAGGTATAGAGCATTTAAAGCAGAACAGAACCTTACTTTTTAAAGTCAAAGCGACACTGAAACAGTTTTCGGTTTCACTGAGAACCAATGCAACCACTGATAAAAATAGATTTCTGATGGCTCTGAAAAGCTGATTGCATGTTGTATGTCTTGAATTACCCATGTTTGTTTAGACGGTGGTCTCTGACTGTTCATTTGTGGCTTCACTGGCCATCAGTGCAGCTTACGAGAGGCGCTACAACAAGAAACTCATCACCAGGTATGACTGCAGCTTCTTTTTTCATTGCAACAGCATTCGGCTTATATAGAGCATAAGAACTAATATTTGTTTTTTTTTTCTCCACTGCAGCATCATCTACCCTCAGAACAGGCGAGGAGAACCAGAGTATAACCCCTGTGGAAAGTACATGGTCAAACTTCACATCAATGGAGTGCCCAGAAAGGTTACTATAGAAAACCAACTAACAGTATTATTGAAGAAAAATCTACTAATATCAAACTAATAGGATCCCATAAACCTCATTCAACAACACAGAGTTTAAAGATAGTTAGTTTATTCTATAAAAAATGCACTAAGCTGTAAAGGTAGTCACGAATTAAAACAGGGTTCC